GCTGACAAAGCCTCTTGGATGAGGGGCGAAACGTTTCTTTTTAACAAAAAAAACGAAGTCCAGATGACATGATTCAATCTTTTTTGTTATTAGTGTGACCTTTTTTTTGTTGGCGACTTTTTGTTTTTTTTGGCAAGGCAGTGTATTTTTATATATGAATATGAGACTTGGTGCCAGGGAGACCTGGCATTGTATGGCTTTCTAAATTTTGTAATAATGGGGCAGCTGTGGCTGAGGTTAGAGCAGTCATCTTCCAATGTGAGAGTTGGGGGTTCGAATCCACCAGCAGTCACATGCTGAAGTGTCCCTGGGCAAGACACTGAACCCCTCATAGCCTCTGATGTATGTCCCTTCATTGTATGAATGTGATCTAAACTACTGATTAGTCTCTTTAGAATGATTTGTTCAATTAGCTTTGTAGAGATCTAGTATAGAGCTGTATGAATGGGTAAATGAGGACACAGATTGTTGTAAAGAGCTTTGAGTGTCTCGATAAGGTAGAAAGGTGCTATATAAGTACAGTCCATTTAATAAAATGCAAGTGGGAATTAACGTTCTGTCACTTTTTTCCAAGCTACGCCAGAGCACGTTACTAATGCTAAGCTAGCTCTCCTCCTACGCACCACCACCATGTTACACCTGGCTTTATCAGGAGGTTTAACTTTCCAGTGTCATGGTTGCTCGTTGGCTTCCAGCAGCCAGTTAGAGGGTAGAATAGGACAGAGGAGGAACTGAAGGAGCCTCCCAACCCGAGTGGTTACTCCAGCTTTTAACAAAAGGCCCGGCGTCAGGCCTTTGTGTATGTGTGCAAATAGCTCAGACCTAATTTAACAGTTAATCTGACGGTCTTTAAACCCAACATCAAGATTATCAGAACCAACAGTCTGATGTGTGTGAAGACAAATACTTCCAAGAATCTGAAATAAAAGATCTGATCTCAGGCTGTCGGCTATTCTGTTATGCTGATGATTTTTTCAAATCTGAACCAGAATATGTTACTTTACTTGAAAATATGACGCTATGAACATTGATGTAGAAGCTTCTCTCGTCAAATGTTAAAACGATTTCAAAGAAACAAACACACCACCAAACGTTGACCATGTATTTAATGATCAAAACCAAGCGTATCAATAAATTATCAAACTTTTCAAATGATGCTCTAGAACTTAAGTCTGTTCTTTAATGAAATTTGTTCTCAGTTTTTTATGAAACTTTTTTACAGCTCAAGAATATCTCAGAAAAATGACCCAAACTGTCATCATCATACTTGTCTTTGGCTCCATCTGAATCTTTTTTCTAAAATTCATCTCTCTCCAGTTATGTCTTCACTTCTTTAATGATGATGATGATGTTTGGCTCCAGGATGAACACATTTTATTCTACTATCTTTGACCCAAGGTTGATAATCAGAGGAACAAATCTGTGAATGGATTTTCAAGAACCAAATCAAAGTTTACTGGGACTGTTCTGCCAGTTCCTCAGTTCTGCTGAATAGTTTACAGGTTCTGATCATTTAGCAATTTCTGGTGATAACAGTTTTCTTCCAATGTGGAAAAGCATGGGATCAGTAAGAACTCATGACTTTACCAGACTGATGAAAAGAGTCCCTGCAGGCAAGTTTTTTTTTCTTTAGAGAAGCTTTTTATGAGCAGCCGCACTCGTCCACGATCATGTTCTGGACATCCTTCTTGATGATCTTTTGCTCCTCATTGTAGTAGAGCATGGACATGGCCCGAAGCCGTGTTGGCACACAGCAAGACTTGGTGTTCTGGAACGGACTGTAGCCCCTCATGCGGTAATGATTGATTACCGCCGAGTGGAAGGAAAGTGACAAGCTGCCATGGTTGGGACAGTCACCATTGCAGTAGTTGGCATGGTATCCAGATGGAGCTATAATCCAGTCACTCCAGCCTATATCTTTGAAGTTCACGTAAAACTGTTTCTTGCAGCAGATGTGGATCTTGCTGTTGCATTCCAGACCTCGCTTGACTCGCCGCTGAGACTCTTTTTCTTCGGCTTGAAGCATCACCATAAGGAACGGCCAGTGAGACTGATCCTGCCTCTGTGATTTTTCACTAATGGCAGGCGCCAAAATGGGTGAAGCTCCGACCTCAGTACACAACAGACAGGACACTCGAAGGCTGAGTGAGCCACTTCCACTGTCCAGCAGCATCTGAACGCTGCGTGTAACGTTAAGCGTGTGCCAGCCACTGCGATGGACATCCACCATCTTCTCTGAAATACACTCATCGTTTGAAAGTGTCTGCAGCAGCTGAAGCATCACTTTTCCTTTGACCCGGTTTATCTTTAATATCTTCAGGAAGATCCACATTGTCGCCTGTTCCACCACTGCAGAACCACCGTCCATCAGGATGTCAAAGGTCACAGAGTTCGGAGAGTTCCCTGCATGGACAAACACACTGGAATGAATTGTTCAACAAATCAGCTATTAAATCATAATCATCAAATCCAAATTCAATGAAAACCTTTTCATCCAATTCAGTTCAATTCAGTTTATTTATATAGCACCATATCACAACAAAGTTGTCTCATTACACTTTACAGGAACAGTCACATACATAGAAAAGCCAATTAGTAAAGATCTCTATCTAAGAAAGCAGCAGAAAAGTTAAATCTTCACTTTGTCACAGTCTACCATCCTGAACAAGCACAGTGGCTACAGTGGAAAGGAAAAACTCCCTTTTAAAAGGAAGAAACCTCCAGCAGAACCAGGCTCAGGACAAGTGGCCATCTGCTTTGACCGGCTGATTTGAAAGGACAGGAAGGAGAGATGGACAAACACAGAATGGTAATTCCAGATATAGGTTCAGGTCCAGATATAGGTTCAGGTCCTGATATAGGTCCATATTTAGGTGCAGGTGTACCTCCATTGGAAGAAAGACAAAAACACATGTCAAGGACAGGAAAAATACAAAACAGGCTGAGCAGAGTAAATAAAGACAGCAGTAGAGTGAAGAAATTTGGTCAGTTTGTCCTCCAGCAGTCTAAGCCTATAGTAGCATAACTAATGGATAGCTCAGGAAACCCAAGCCAACCCTAACTATAGGATTTATCAAAAAGGAAAGTCTTAATCCCAGTATTAAAACTGGACAATGTGTCAGCCTCATGGACAGAAACTGGAAGTTGGTTTCCTGATGCATGCTCAATAATCCAAGTAGAAAAAAAAAAAAAAGTTAAATCTGGTCCTCTGGACATTCAAAAAACAAAACAAAACAAACAACAAAAAAAATGTAGAAATGTTTTGTCTTTCATCTGAAAGACTTCCTCAGTCTGAGGCGCTGTATTCAGCTCAGTCTTATAAATAGCACCTTCTCAGAGTGGATCAACCAGTTTGCTGCTGACAACCAGAACCAGCTGATCACATGCTCAAGAAGGACCATCAGCCTAACAATAGATCATTAGCACACTGATGGCTGTTTACTGTTCACAGAGGGCTGAGTGATACTAGCAATCACAGCATTGTAAGAGGGGGACAGTTGAACCTGGAGGCTCCACCCCTGTTTAATGATGGACGGTTTCTTTTCACAAAGATGGCCTCCTTTACTCCTCTCTCAAACCATCGTTCCTCTCTGTCCAGGATGTGAACATCTTCATCCCTGAAAGAGTGACCGCTGGCCTGGAGATGAGTGTAGACCTCAGAGTCCTGGCCTGATGATGTTGATCTTCTGTGCTGGGCCATCCTTTTGGCCAGTGGCTGTTTTGTTTCCCCGATGTAAGACTGATCACCCTCCTGACACTGAACAACATACACAACATTACTCTGTTTGTGCCGGGGGACTGGATCTTTGGGATGAACCAGTCTTTAATGTATTTTGGGGTTTAAAAGCCACTGGGACGTTATGTTTAGAAAATAAACGTCTCAGTTTCTCTGATACTCCCTCAACATATGGAATGACCACTGGTCTGGGTCTGGGTTCCTCCTTTTCACCTGTTGGCTGACTGGAGTCCTGTTTTGGTTTCTTCTCTGCTTTCAGGAAGGCCCAGTTAGGATATCCACATTGCTCTAGAGCCTGTCTTGTGTAGGATTTCTCCTTCTGCCTGGCTCCTGAGTTAGTGGGTACGTTGTCTGCTCTGTGGTACAGAGTCCTGATGACTCCTAACTTGTGCTCCAAAGTGTGATGGGAGTCAAACTGCAAATACTGGTGGGTTTGCGGTATGGCTCAGTTTGCAAATGTCCTCTATCAGAGACTGAGACCTCACAGTCCAAGAAAGCCAACCTGCCATTTTTTACATCTTCTCGTGTGAACTTGATGTATTTATCCACAGAGTTGATGTGGTCAGTAAAATGTTGGACTTCCTGAGATTTAATTTTAACCCAGGTGTCATCAACATACCTGAACCAATGACTTGCTGGTGTCCCTGAAAAGGACGTCAAGGCTCTCTTTTATTTTTTACCTCCTCCATGTACAGGTTGGCAACAATAGGAGAAACTGGAGACCCCACAGCGCACCCATGTTTCTGCCTACAATATTGTCCCCCATATGTGAAGTAGGTTGACTGCAGGCACAGTTTCAAGAGTTGACACAGTTGCTCTGTGGAAAGTGTGGTCCTGCTACTCAGAGTGGTGTCTGATTTTAATCTAAAACTGACCACCTCTACTGCATCATCAACAGGAATGCACGTAAAGAGTGATGTGACATCAAAAGAGACCATTGTTTTATCAGTCTCTATGATTACATCCCTCACCTTATCCACAAAGTCCATGGTGTTCTAAGCTGCCAACTAAAGGGATGAGTACAGGCGCCAGATATTTGGAAACCCTTTAGTTGGCAGCTCAGAACACCACGGACTTTGTGGATAAGTTGAGGGATGTCATCATGGAGACTGTCTTGAACACGAGGTGGCTACGGTCCATGATGAAACAATGGTCTCTTTTGATGTTACATCACTCTTCCTGTTGATGATGCAGTAGAGGTGGTCAGTTTAAGATTAAAATCAGACACCACTCTGAGCAGCAGGACCACGCTTTCCACAGAACAACTGTGTCAACTCTTGAAACTGTGCCTGCAGTCAACCTACTTCACATATGGGGAGCAATATTATAGGCAGAAACATGGGTGTGCTATGGGGTCTCCAGTTTCTCCTATTGTTGCCAACCTGTACATGGAGGAGGTAGAAAAGAGAGCCTTGACGTCCTTTTCAGGGACACCACCAAGTCATTGGTTCAGGTATGTTGACGACACCTGGGTTAAAATTAAATCTCAGGAAGTCCAACATTTTACTGACCACATCAACTCTGTGGATAAATACATCAAGTTCACACGAGAAGATGTAAAAAATGGCAGGTTGGCTTTCTTGGACTGTGAGGTCTCAGTTTCTGATAGAGGACATTTGCAAACTGAGGTGTACCGCAAACCCACCCATACAGACCAGTATTTGCAGTTTGACTCCCATCATCATTTGGAGCACAAGTTAGGAGTCATCAGGACTCTGTACCACAGAGCAGACAGCGTCCCCACTAGCTCGGGAGCCAGGCAGAAGGAGAAATCCCACACAAGACAGGCTCTAGAGCAATGTGGATATCCTAACTGGGCCTTCCTGAAAGCAGAGAAGAAACCCAAACAGGACTCCAGTCAGCCAACAGGTGAAAAGGAGGAACCCAGACCCAGACCAGTGGTCATTCCATATGTTGAGGGAGTATCAGAGAAACTGAGACGTTTATTTTCTAAACATAACGTCCCAGTGGCTTTTAAACCCCAAAATACATTAAAGACTGGTTCATCCCAAAGATCCAGTCCCCCGGCACAAACAGAGTAATATTGTGTATGCTGTTCAGTGTCAGGAGGGTGATCAGTCTTACATCGGGGAAATAAAACAGCCACTGGACAAAAGGATGGACCAGCACAGAAGATCAACAACATCAGGCCAGGACTCTGCGGTCTACACTCATCTCCAGGTCAGAGGTCACTCTTTCAGGGATGAAGATGTTCACATCCTGGACAGAGAGGAACGATGGTTTGAGAGAGGAGTAAAGGAGGCCATCTTTGTGAAAAGAAATCGTCCATCATTAAACGGGGGCGGAGGCCTCCGGGTTCAACTGTCCCCCTCTTACAATGCTGTGATTGCTAGTATCACTCAGCCCTCTGTGAACAGTAAACAGCCATCAGGTGCTAATGATCCATTGTTAGGCTGATGGTCCTTCTTGAGCATGTGATCAGCTGGTTCTGGTTGTCAGCAGCAAACTGGTTGATCCACTCTGAGAAGGTGCTATTTATAACACTAAGCTGAATACAGCACCTCAGACTGAAGAAGTCTTTTGAATGAAAGACGAAATGTTTCTACAATTTTTACTTTATTTTATATTTTTGATTGTCCGGAGGACCAGATTTAACTTTTTGATTTTTCTACCTGGATTATTGAGCATGCATCAGGATAGTATTGGTCCAAGCACTGAACCCTGAGGAATTCCATGACTAACTTTGGTGTATGAAGAAGATTCATTATTTACATTTACAAATTGGTAATTGGCATCATATTTATCTCAGATAAATATGATTTAAACCATTCAAAACAGGAAGTTTCATTCATGACATTTCTTCTCAGTGGAAAGTTTCAAACCCAAGTGTTTCGAAAACGAGCACTGAGATGAAAATGTTTAATGAAAAAATTGGGTCTAAATGTTTTTTTCTGAAGTGAAAAATAATTATTAAAATTTCACAAACCACCCTGACCTGTTCTACCCCTGGGTGGTCTTCCTGGTATTAAATGAATCAACAAAGTAAATGTTTTAATGAAAAAATGACTGCATGAATGGATATTCTGACTCTAGATATAGTTGAGATAAAAAGAGACACACACAAAATTACTGGGCTTATTTCAGGAAATGTTAATGAGTCTGCCCACCCCCACCTATGCACTCCCTTCAGAAAAATGTCTGTCCTACACTGTCTCCTCTCTTTGTGTCCTGCTGCAAAATAATTACTTTGGCCCAGATTTGAAACTGAATAAAGAGATTATTTACAGCCTGAGACCAATTGGTATGTTCCCGTCTCCCACCATCACCTCGTTACTGTCCAATAATTTGGGTGACCCTCTGTGGAGCTTTTAATGACAGACATCACAGGACAAAAACTATTTATAGCACAACACAAATATACATATTTCTGCATGCAAATAAAGAAAATAGAATAATTAGAACAGATAAATCAAAAACATCTGCTCATCAGAAAACACTGAACCCTGAACCATAGACCCTGTCCACTGAACCCTGAACCATAGAACACTCTATTCTCTTTGAAAAACTGAATAAATATGGCATTAGAGTATTAGTACTACAGTGGGTATCCAGTTATTTACCATACCATACCATTTTATTTATAGAGCACTTAAAACAGCGACAAGGCCAACCAAAGTGCTGTACATACAGAAAACAGGCAAAGCAC